CAAATAATTTTGTCAACTTTATAGTTAAATAATAAAAATTTATTCCGAATGCTATAATTTTTATTAAAGAATGTTGTGACCTTATTGCCGAATATTTTTTAACTAGAAATATTTTTTTGCCAAATGATTTTTTTGCCAAATAATTTTTTTGCCAAATGATTTTATTGTCAAATACTTATTTTTTGCCGAATGTTATATTTTTTTTTTGCCAAATTATTGTTTTTTTTAAGTGCCGAGTGGCATAAATTGGACCAAATAACAAAACTTCAGTATAAACTTTTATTAATAAATTTGGATTTAATCAGCTGTAATTTGGTAGCTGAATAACCCAATTTGGACTAGTGAAAAGTGTTGAAAGTTATAATCTAGTTGGATCCCTAGATTATTCCACTAGCAGAATCATCAACTTTTTTTTTTTCGATTAGATACTGACTTTTCTACACTTCCTAACTTTTTTTCAGATGTCTGTCAATAACTTTCGCCATGTTAGTTGTCATAATCATAGTGGTCGTTATTATTGTATTTCTCCTAATTCTTTTATAGCTACTATTTGTCATCCCTTTCGTGTTCCTCATGCTGCCTTTCCTGTTCCTACTCCTGCTCTAACTCCTGTAGAAACTTCTGCACCCTCTTTATGTGAATGGTGTATAAAACTAGAGCATGATTTATATGTTCAAGAAAGGACTCTAAGAAGTATAAGGGAAACCAATAGAAATATTCGATGTCAACTGGCTCGATTTACTTTCTATAGACAAAACCGTCCTTTGGCAAGAACTTTACATCGATTAATTGGGGAATTTCGATGTTTAGAAGAGTTGGTCAGGTCATATAGAAACATAACTCATTATGAAATACTTAGAAATAGACATCCCCCTAGATGACACAGCAGTGTTTAATAATAAATTATCTATTATATTTTAATAAAAATCTAAAAGTTTTTTAACAAAAATAAAGCCAAAACAAAAAAAAAATATATTTTTACGTGAATAAATAATTATTTAAATATTATAGCCTCAAATACCATCATGCTACTATAGGTGCTATATAGTTAACCAGTCCTTAATCGGCATATGCTATGAATTTCTATTTCTAGAAACTAAGGTCATCTACAACTATATAAAAATCCAATAATATTTATTCACATAAATTATAAAAAGAATCAAAATAACAAATATTTCTACTATTTTTTCTAATTTCTAAGGGGTTTCAAAAAATAAAAATTATTAAACTATAAAATAAAATAAAATCAATGTTCTTCTCTACTTAATTTTTCCCTGATTTTTTTTTTTTTTGTTCAGAATAGAATAGAAAAGTAAAACCTCCAAAAAAAGTACTAATAATTAAAAACCCAAAAATAAAGTCTCGAAAAATAATGACTGAAGGATTTAAGGTACGCTATTTCTATTGCGTCATTGAATAATTCCTATACTATACTTAGACTAACACTGTTCCATTTCTTTTTTTATCTCGCCTTTCCTATCTATCCATTTCATTTTTTTATTCATTTTTTTTTTTTTTTTTTTTACCATTTTCCTTTCCCCTTTTTGATCGTGAGTACTACGAGCAATCATCACCTATGACACATATCGCGATTTTACTTTTTCGCTTACACCACCCTTTCATGTCTTGTGCTGGTCATGACGTGATCATCATCCACACCTTGGTACTAACAAACTACCTTACAATTTTATTTCTTATTGTAGTGTCCATTTGGTATGTGTCCTTATCGATTATCGTTTGTACTTTCTATCATTTGTTTTTTTTTTTTTTGTGTTCCCATGCCGAGGTTGCATTACCGGACCACTCTCTTTACTGACATCCCATTGGTTCCCTGTACTCTTTTAATAGTCGTCGGTTTATTGATCTTTTTAACACTTTCCTGTCGATTGTACGTAAATGATACATGGCATCCAATTTGATTTCATGTACATAGAATGGGCCAATCCATTTCTGGTCCAACTTATGGCTCCACAAATTCTTCTGGAATGCCTTATATACTAATACTTTGTCCCCTATAGTGAAACTTCTTTCAATTCGAAGCTTCTGGTTGTGTTGAGTTTTTAACTTTTGCTGGGTAGCATTTACGCGTACCATCGTATCCTTCCATTGTTGTGACAGCACCTCCGTCAGATCAAATACCTGCTGTAGTATTGTCCCTTCCAGTCGCTTGCTGCTCTCCTGGTGATGAATCAGAGTTCACGCTTCCCTCCCATAGACTAAGTAGAATGGCGTCATCTTTGTTATTTCCTGTTGCGCCGTTCTATACATAAACAGGGCAGATGGTATCATCAGATCCCAATCCACCACATTCTGCACTAGTTTTGTAATTGACTCACACAGTGTATGGTTGAATCGCTCCACCAATCCGTTGGTTTGCAAATGGTATGGTGTAGAATAGAGGTGGTTGATACGAAACTTTTCCAGAAACACATTCAACAAGCGACTTCTGAAGTTTGTTCCTTGATCCGACAGTAGGTATGTCGAACATCCGTGTCTGCATACTATTTCATCATAAACAAATTCCACCACCTTTTGTGCCATTGCTTTCACCAGAGCACGAGCCTCAGGCCACTTGATCATATAATCGGTGGCAACTACTATGTAGCGATTCTTCCTGGGGGTCACAGGCAGGGGTCCCACTATGTCGATCCCCACCTTAGCAAATGGTTCTCTGATGGGTATAAGATGAAGGGGTCCCCGCTGTTTGTTCCTCCCCCTCCTCTGACACTGGTCGCAGGAATGTATGTACGTATGGATGTCTTCGTATAGCTGCAGCCAATAGTACAAGTTTCAGATCTTGTTGAACATGATGTCCTTTCCTAAGTGCCCTTCCAGTGGATGATTATGTGTAAGATATAATATCGGCCCCAACTCGTGTCGTCGTAGCACCTTTAGTAAGATTTCCGGCCAGTGCTTGTCCTTCTTGTAAACATCTCCTCCTTTCACCATGAAAAAGCTACTCTGCACCCATATTCTTCTGGCTTGCTATTGTAAACATCCCGTCGGCAGCCATCGTTCCTGCAGGTATCTCTTCAGCTATAAGTATCATTTTTTGTCCATTGTTTCTAGAGAGTTTTTTTTTTTTTTTTTGCCAGGACACCAGAACCTGGACTGGATTCTGTCCCTCGGATTTTTATTTATTTATTTGGGTGCTGTGCTAGTTGTCGTCACATATCACTATTGTCGTTGTCGTCTTGTTCGTTTTTGTCTTTCTTTTTTCTTTTTTTTTTTTGTTATCGCTTCTTGTCCTCTAGTTGTTGCCATTAGATTTTATAGTGGTACCCTAGTGGATCATGTTTAATGGCACCATCCGCGTCGTACTGATAAGGTAGGTCTTCATTTGGCGGTCCAGGTGAGTTGAACTCTTCATCTTGTTTTTCTGACTTTCCACCGGTTATGCTATTTCTTTGTTTCTCCTGGACAGTTAAACGAGATAACACATCAGCATTCAAATGCTTCCATCCTGAGCGATATACTATTGTATATTAATACAGCTGAAAATAAAGGATTCATCATGCTCTTCTACCTTTTAGCTTGAAAGTTTCTAGCCATTTCAGCGTGGAGTGGTCAGTTATCACCACGAATGGCTTCATGCCAAGATAGTGATGGAAATATTCAATTCTCTATATCATGGCTAGACACTCTTGCTCTGTTGTGGCATAGTTTCTCTCGGCCTTCATCAAGCTTCTACTGGCATATGTGATCACATTTTCCCTTCTTGCATTGTCAATCTGCATCAACACAGCACTTAACCTCATCCCAGATGCATTGGTGTGTAAGTAGAAGGTTTTCTCAAAGTTTGGATACTGAAGAATTGGGTTGGTTGTCAGGTGGGTCTTCAATCGCTCAAATGCCAATTGTTGCTTATCTGTCCACTCATACTGTGCATTCATTTCAAGCAATTGATATAACGGTTTGGCGATCGTTGCGAATCCACTAATAAACCTCCGATAGTAGGAGGCAAATCCAATAAAACTTCGTAGCTGCCTCACGTTTTCTGGTGCTGGAAAGTTTCTTACCTTTACTATCTTGTCCTCGTCTGGTCAAATGCCGTCTCTTCCTACGATATGACCTAGAAATCCTACATTTGGTAAGAAAAACCTATATTTCTCCGCATTCAACCTTAACAAGGCCTGTCATAGCTCTCCAAAAACACAGGCCAAATGATTCATGTGTTCCAGAAATGTTCGCGAGTACACGATGATGTTATCGAGGTACACAGCCACGAATTTGCCAATGTGATCGTAGAGTACCTTATTCATCAGTCTCTGGAACATAACGGGGCGTTACATAGTCCGAACGGCATTACTTGAAATTCATATGTCCCAAACTTCATCACAAAAGCTGTTTTCTCGTGATCCCTCTCCTGGACACGCACTTGCCAGTACCCATTAGCAAGGTTGAGGTTCGAGAACCACTTCACCTGCCTAAGAGCTTCAATTAAATCATCAATCTTGGGTAAGGGGTACGCGTCCTTTTTGGTTACTGCATTTAACTTCCGATAATCCACACATAAGTGCCATTTACCGTTCTTTTTCGGCACTATTATGATTAGGGATACTCAAGGGCTGCATGATTCTAGTATTAGGTTCTGATCTTGCATTTTCACTAGCACTCCCTTTACATATTCGTGCTCATCTAGTGCCAACCTATAAGGTGCTTGCTTGATTGGTTTTACGTCATCTATATCAATCTCGTATTGGATCACGTTGGTCTGGGTGAGTTCATTTAGCTCTTCGGCAAATAATTCCTTTTTTCTCTCGAAGAGTTTTGCTGCATCATCTCGTTCTTCTTCTGTCAAGTCAATTAAATCCACCCTCAGTTTCTTGTCCATATATTCCTCGTTGTCCTCCAACGTTGGTATCTCCTTCAGGATGGTCAAGTATACTGCTGGACTTGGAATCTCTTTGTCAATCGTTTCTTCCTCCTCGGACTGTTCTCCCATATAATATTTTTCCTTCTCTTCTACTTGCTTGCTTTCGTACTTCAACTCATCGAAGGTATCCTTGCTCTCGTCATTGCTCGCTCCCGATTTGTCTGGCCGCACCAACCCCTCTATGCCATTGTGTGAGATGGGTACCTCCAGTTCCTTCCCTTGATACTTCAGCAGTATTTTCCATTCGTCGAAGTGAATCCTGGCATTCCCTCTTTGGAACCAGTCGGTTCCGAGTAATAATGTCTCATCCCTGGACTCAATGACCCTCAGCGTCGTGGGGATGGTTACCCCTTGTACAGTTATACCTACCTCTCTTACTTTTCCCAGGATCCTCTCCCTTGTCCCGTTTACGGTGACAACGATGAAGGTCAATTTCTCATTAATCTTTAAGTAAAGCTTGTTTAACAATTTCTTCGTAACTATACTTATCGCTGCCCCTGTATCTAGGGTAGCTATTACTGTCTGGTTCTTGATCCACACATAGCATTTAGCTGTGGTCATTTTAGAAGTATCTACTGAATTCACTTGATTTGATTCAGTTGGGAGTTTTGCCCATTTCAATATTTTTGAAAGGTTGCATTGTTGGTTGGTATACTTCAGTATCTGCCCGTAAGTTGCATTTGCTTTCATAGACAGGATGTCCTCCGATATGTCATACGGATCTAGTGAATTGACCACTGATGGTAACCTTTTTTGTCACGGCTTCTTAGTAATGTTGGTTACCTTGGGGGACTTCACGATCACCATTGGCTCCTGCGTTCTTATATATTTTGATGCTTTTTGCGACTCATCTATACTTTCCTCTTCCTGGCGTCTCGGTCGACCCTTCTTTTTCACCATTGGCGTGGTGGCCTCCAGAATGTATGCTTCCTCTTCCTCTTTGTATTCTTTCTCGACCTCTTCCTTGTAACAATATTGCACCTGTGAGGTCACAGTTCTTAGAGGTTCTTTAAATGTTTTTCCTTCGGAACATCATTGGACTATGTGCTCTTCCTTTCTGCAGTTGTAGCAGACTAAACTTTTCCACTCCTGTAGTGGCTCCCTCCTCGAGTTTGCATGGCTCAATATGAGTTCCTTGATTTGTTGCTCGAACCTCTCTATATTAGCTTCTAGTTGTTTTGTCATATCTTTGACTCCTACTTGGATTTGTCGTTTGTAGTAGTTCCCTGCTTCCGCTTTTCGTGCTGCCGCAATGGCCTCTGCTAAGTCCTTCGGCGACGTCATAGTCACGAACGTAGCGGTGTTGTCTTTGAGTCCATTCAGAAACATCCTGACGATATAATCACTCGGAATCGTTTCTTTCGGATCTACCCTAGTAAGCAAGTGTTTAAACTTTGCCGCATACCCATCTACCTTCTTATCTTTGTGTTGACTTAACTCGTTTAACTCTATCTGCCACCTGTCATTTTTCCGACGTGGCGAAATGCTTCACGAATACGTGGCAGAAATTTTGTGCAATGTTCATCTTGCCCTTCTATGCTATGATCGCACTTTTACTTTCTCTGTACCAATCAGCAGCTAGACCCATTATGTAGTCCGATGCTACTCTCAGCTTCTTTTCGTCCTTCCAGTCATTGATTTCCGCCACTCTTTCAAACTTCTCCAACTATTCCACCGGATCGTCATCTTCTTCTTTAGCGAATGTTCTCACCCTCGCAGGGTCAGCTCCCCGGGCTCCACTCGACTTATTAATTATGTCGTCCAGAGATATGAACACACCTTGCATAAGCTGCTGGAACTGATTATTATCCATTCTTTCGATCCACGTGACAAGTAATTTTCCGGGTCACAGCTCTCATTTGTTATATGTATCGTGAGTTTCTTTCCTCTTTTTTTTTATTTAAGGGAAACTTCTCAGTATAATAATAGCTTGGTCAGGAAAGTCAAAAGAGACGTGGGATATGTCTGTTCAAGTTGAGTGTGGTTGGGGAACATGCATATATAAGTATAGAACATGTATGTTTGGGTATTACGTCTAAACCAAAGGGAATATCAAGCAATATTTCCAACTAATGATTATGTTTACAAAGAAAAATATTGGGGGTAGTGTACGTTGCGATGGTGTTCAAATCTCATAGTCACCACTAAATTGTTACGATGAAATTATGGCACGTCAGTTGCTTCAATCAGACTCACGTTGTGTAATGCTCAAAAGGGTTTTCTTCTTAAAAGAGGCATATGAATTTGGCCAGAATCCGTAATGCCAATATAGATCAATCCATCGGTTTGTATTCTATCTAGTTACTTTGCGTGCAGCAATTCCTTTTACTACACAACACTGGGAATATTCTCACCAAACTAAACTTTATCAAGAAAGACAATCTTTATTGCGCGAGTAGAACTTGTTACAAGATCTGATCTATCTATTTCTATTTATACCTCAAATATCTATTATATTTAATATATTTAATATACTTATCATTATATTTACCCTTATAATTTCCTATAATTTATCCTTCACTTTTTTCTTATAACAATACAAATCAAATAAAAAGATAATATTTATCTACTGGGATAATCCTCCCAAAAAAATAAATAAATAAATGATATTAACTTAATTACAAGTATAAATATAAATATATATATATATAATAATTTTGTTTTTGTAATATTATAAAAAATAATCTTATTTTAATTTAATAAAAAGTCTTTTTTTAATATTAATTATTGTATAAAAATAAACATAAGATCTTAAATAATTAATATTTTAAATAAGAAAATAATTATATTTTAATTAGCAGTTATAAGTTTCTTAAATATTTTTAATTTTTATTGAAATAATAGAAACTAAATAATAATATTTAATTATAAGTAATAATAAAAAATAATTCTTAATAGATTTGGTAAATTAGGTAAAGTTTTATTTGTCAAGAATAATAATATTTTTTGTTTCTACTGTATTTCTTTTTTTTTTATATTATACAAAAATCCTAATAGTACTTAGATATATTAATTTTTCAATTGAAAAATAACAAGTTATATAAAATAGATTTTTAAAACTTTACTATAAAATTTAAATAAATTAAAGTACATGTATTATCTAATAAACTCAATAAAATAAACTTCATTTGTAGTATTAAAATATTTATATTTGATTACTATGGTATATAATATACTATATATACTGTATATATATAATATATTCAAATATCATTATTGGAATTTTTTTTAATTTTAGGGTTTGTTCTTATACAGTATATTATCTAATGTAACAATTTCAACCTTGGTTTTCTCCGAAAGTCATGCAAAATGTGTAACACGCCTATCATCACTCACCCAAAAATACATATTTGATCTTCACGCAATACTTTTTCGACAAAAAACATTATGAGCAGCATCAAGTCTCTCCTTCCTCCCAAGTTATCAGTCGCCGAAGTGACGGGCGGCTCTAAACGGTTTGCTAGCCTAGGCGAATTTTACAGCAAGCTTCCTAAAGGTCCTCTAGTCGAAGGAACTAGACCCGGGTTTTGGGGGAGATACTATTCCAAATACATTCGAACAAGTTCACCTATGCCAATTTTGCACGTTATTTTGGGAGTTGGCCTTATTGGTTATACAATAAACTACCAAAACCACTTAAGTAAGTTTGATTAATTTAGCACCGGAACATTTCTGTTGACGAGAATTTTAATACAATTCTCATTAATTTTTGTAGAGCATCACAAAAACAAAAAGCATCATTGATTTGAACATAGAGGATTTTCTCTTGATAATAGTCCCTAGGATCAATTGGGAGTTTAAATACATATATAATTTTATGCCAAATAATGTCATTATCAAATCCACTTGAGACATTGATTGAGAATTATAATTTCCAATAAAAGAAGATTTACTCTTGGATTTAGATTCAACTATAAAACGAATTGGTGTTGCATAAAGTAATCATTCTGTATTTTCTTTTTAATATCGTATTCTTGTAAACTTCTCATAAATAAATTCTACACCATTCAATATTCAAATTGTACATGAGATCTTTTAGAAAGAAATTGAGAGTTTAGCAAAAAAAAGATCATTCGTATAAAGACATTGCGAACAAATTATGAAAATTAGAGGTTTCGGGTGCTACGAATCATGTAAATATTTTATTGAGTAAGTTTTTGTGCAACGTTGGGGTTGATTTTTTTGCCATCCTGTTGGAATAAGACGTCAAAAAATTAACAAATACAGGTGTAGGAGTAAAAACAATAAAACCATAGAAATGAACATTCGTAAAAAATAGAGCATGATTGAGATGTGACATCAAAGTTACCTTGTTATATCGAATTCTCGGCGGCGGATTACGATTACGGCGTCCTTTGCGTGACCTAACTCTGACGACGTGAGAATGAATCGCACATGAGACGCAATAATGCAGTTTGATGTATAACTTAGGAAGTGCGTATTCTGAATTTAATTTCGAATCATCAGACGTAAGACTTTGTTTGATCAACTTATTAATAATAGAAACGAGACGAAATATACATTCATCCAAATACCTTCGTACACGGATGCATCGGTAATATCACGAACAGCGGCGCTCTCTACCATGTTACGAACGGTAAAACGCTTAATCGCTTTGTCCTATCGTGATTGTTGCAAAAACAATTAGCTCTGTTGTTTGGTGTGCAGTCATCGATTGATCATTGATTTATTTATTTACCTTGGGCACGCAACGAGCGCAGTTGGAACATCGCACCGGTTTGACGTGACCACGCCCGTGTTTGTTACGTCCACCGTTTCTTCTTTTCTTGGTCTAAATCAGTCAATTTTAATAAAAATAAAATGTTTCTTAATAACAAATCGAGAGTGTTCTTGTTTAAATTCAGTGTTGCCTTTGAATTCTACAATTCCTGTCACAAAGAATAATTAAAGCCACCAAAAAAAAAGCATTTTCGATCCAGCTCACTCTTCTCCATTACACAGTGGTGATAAATTAAAACATCGCAGATACTAACCATCGTCAATCAAAATAGATGGATTGGAAAGAGGAGGAAACCGGTAGATTAAGCGTCCCACCTTTTATACGGCTGGCAAAAAAAAAACAAAAATTTCCAACCAATCATGCATGAAGTTGCACAAATAACGATATTGGCTTATAACGTTACACTCGATTAGAACGTACAGTATTTGTAATGCGGAAGTTACACACACTCATAAACTTACGTAGCGATAGTGAACCGTCGAAATTTTTTTACCTCTCAATTATGACAATCTTTCTGTTCCTTGTCTAAGGGAAATACCAACCTTTTTTATATCGCTTCGTTACTCTTGTGTCAATCAATATTACCAAAAATGATTAAACCGATGCCAACCGAATGTCTCCAAGAAATATTTGAGCACTTGCAAGACGACGAGTGTTCATTATTCACTGTTCTTCAAGTAAACCGTTTCTGGTGTAAGAACGTTGTACCCATACTCTGGAGAAATCCTTTTGAGCTTTGCTCGAAAAGAGGTGGTTCGCCTAAACTTGTAGAAACCTTGATTTCCTGTATGGACATCGAAGCAAGAAATCGGCTGAAACGTGATTGTAAACCTTTAAAAAAGAAACTTTCGCGATCTCCACCGAGTTTCAACTACTCCTCTTATTTGAGAAAGTTAACTACCAGCGATCTTTGGGAAGCAGTTTTACTATGGGTCAGCTATAAAAAAAGTTGCGATACCATTCGACCGCCCACGAGAACAATATCGCCAGATCTGAAAATGATCGCTGGTGTTATAAAAGAATTAGGATTGCTGTTCAATAAAAATTGTCCAAATTTTGATCAATTAAAGTTCAATGCGGATCATGATGAATTGATTGGATTTTATCTTTTATATTGCTTACCACATATTCGCGAATTCAATTATTCTGGTTGGGGTAATAAAGAAAGAAATTTTGATGCCGCTTCGAGATCGCGTAACTGTAGAAACCTGAAAAAGCTGGTGGTCGAAAAAATTTCTACTGAATCGAAGCAAACTGTTCGTGGACTTAGATATGGCGGAAACGCTAGATTTGATTACAACGAGAGGTATAAGCGTCGTCACTTTAGCTCATTATTTAATGATGTTGTATCTTCGTACGCAAATTTTATTGATGATGGATCAGAGAGTGATCTGATCAACGGTACTTTAGATCCATTTAGTATTGGCGTGGAAAAACCAAAATCCGAGCGAGAATTATTGTTAAACTTAATCAGTGTTCAACGCAGATTAGAGCTTTTTAAAATATCCTACAGCGACGTGAACATAGATTTCTTTTCATCAATTCAAACTCAATCGAGAACGCTATCCTGGTTAGAATTTGACACGATATACTTTGATAGTAGCATAACCTTGGAATCATTTGGATTCTATGAAAATTTGGAGACGCTCTTAATTAATGCATGTTGTTGGGAGAATTACAACGACCAGCCATTACAAAAGCAAAACCACACACAAGAATTTTACAAGACCCGAGGATGCTCGCCGTCTACACCTTTTCGTAACCAATGCATGTTCCCGAATCTCAAAAGGTTAAGCATTCGTGGAACAAGAATACCACATAAGGATATTACATCGATAATCAGGAATTCCAGTAAATCGCTGACTAGCATTTGCTTGAATTGCCAACAAGATATCGACCTTCCAGTGTTGTGTACGATCATTGAGCACTGCTCCAACATTCAAGAATTAGAATTCTATTTGGACCGGAAAGATATACTCGAATGCTTCACGATGTTGAGCAATCTGAACAGCTTGAAAATATTACGCATCTACGACGTTAAAGTTGATAGAGGCATCGGTATGGCTGGAGACGGTAATGCGTGGGAGACGTACAACGATAATACAGGGGACAGATGTGACGAAAGTCACCTGGAACCAAGTATAAATTTGCCAAAGGTTGCAAATTTCTTGCCAAGTTCCCTGCGTTGGCTAAGTTTCCCGAAAGCGTGGATATTCACGTTGAAATCATTGGACGAATTCATTAAAAATTGCAAGGTGCCATTGCAAAGATTAGAACTTCGATATCGTATACCCAATGACGGTGTTGAGTTCGGTGGCAAGGGTTTGTAAAGATTAGGTTAGGTTTCCATGTTAAGCATTATATACATACTATTCATATTGACATTATGAGGGTTCGTGTGGTGAATAGAAGGCGGGGTGCCAAAGGTATCTCTTTGTTCAATGTAGACATTTTTGTAAGCACTTCAAAAAACCAAAAGTATTAGTTAAAAAATTTGAAAAAATGTAATATAGAAAAATCCTCAAAAATAAAAAAGTCTTCGGTTCCTTTTTACATAAAAAACAAAATCCGTACTGTATGACGGTTCTATCATCTGATATCCGATGATTCTTCGTAATAAGCAGCATGGGAATTGCATATTCTAATTTCAAGAAAAATCATTTGGGTATTTTCTACATACAGTATATTATTATTTGATTTTTCCAAAATTGTTATATGTTATTTCTTTTTTGACAAATATAATAGTTTTTAAATATATATCACAAGCATAATTTTTAAACTATTTAAGAATATTATTTCCATCTAATTTGTTTTTTTACTGTATAATTAAAAAAATAAATTTAAATAGACTGTAGGATATGTTATATAATAACAATTTTTATTGATTATTATTAAATAGTAAAACAAATTTATAGCTCTTAGCAAATTAAATTAGATATTGCTTTATCAAATAACCATTAATATCTTAATAATAATATTTTTTTAATTTTATAACTATATACTGCAATTAAAAATATAATATAACATATTTAAGTTATTTTTTATTTTTTATTATTTATTTATTATTTATTTGATCAATTAGTAGGGCCTTGTCTAGTATACACTTTTATTTAATTTATATATATATTTCTTGTATTATGGGAATTATTATTTATAAATTATTTTATATTATACTAAACTATATTAACTTTTACCTCAATATTAACTTGTTATTATTAATTCTATTTCAAAAGCTTGAGCTAATTAGATATTAAATCAAAGGCTAATATGTCAAGATATTGTTAATATTATAAACTATTAAATAGTTATATTAATTTTATTTTTAAGATTGTGCAGAGTTAAGAAAAAATTAAAATATAGAATACTAGAAATAATATCTATTTTTAATAAATAGAATACTATAAAAAGCCTATTATATTTTATATTATATTTGTATTTTTAAGTTATTGTTACTGTTTTAAGAGAGCAAAATAAAATTTATGTCAATTTAAACTTGCAATAAATAAAATGTTTCTATAAAAATAAAAATAAAATAAAATAATTAAAAATAATTAAAAATAATTAAAATAATATTAAAATAAATCAAAAGAAAATAAAATTCATAATTTAATATATTAACACTTTTAGTTTCTTTCTTAACAGACTTTAAAATTACTAATAAAAATAATAATTTATTAAAAAAAATTCAAAGTTTTATAATTATAAGTCTAACTGTTTCTTTTCAAAGCTTAAAAAGTAAATTTATTTACAAAATATACTGTAATTGTTTTTAAGGTTTTGAATATATTTTTTATAATTGATTATTTAGATATCAAACTAGTTACTATATATAGAAATTATTGATATTATATATATAAATTTAAATGTTAAAAATTTAGATTATTAAATATTTTATTAAAAGTATTTAACTATACAAATAGTTTCTTTAATATTTTATTTCTATTATTATTTATTTAAAAAGAATAATTATAAAATGATCTTTTTATCTTAATTAATTTCTAACTTTAAATAAATAATAATTGAAATTCGAATTTTTAATATAAACAAGGTTCATAATTATAATATAAATAATTTTTGAACCTGGTACTATATAAATCTAATTTGACTTAGTGTTTAATTATTTTTTAATGTTATTATTATTAAGAAAGTACATATATATAATTAATAATATAACTAATAGCTAACTATTGCTTATTTTTTTTTTTTTTTATACTTGAATTTTGAATTTATACATGTCAACTTATCTTGTAATAGGCATCAATTAATTTACAGTTGTAAGATTATTAAATAAATTCACACATTTAATACTTGATAAAAAAAAAAAAAAAACTATTTTAAAATTATGTAAATGTTAATTATTTTTATTGTAAATTAAATATTATTTAAAATATAAAAATATTTTATTTCTACGATTTATTTTTATTAACTTAGATGTTGCAAATTATAATTATATATTTTCAAATATTTAACATAAAACATTATATATGAAAAGCTTTCTCTTGTATTCTCCTATATTAAGATATTTTAAATTAGACCATCTATTTATTTGCATCATAATATATTTGAAATTCCAGATAATGCAAAAATTTTTAGCGACCATCCAATAAAATTTTAAATAATCTGTATAATTTTATCTGTCTACTTCTCCAAATACGATATCCATAGTTCCTATCACTAAAAGATTATATTTAATTTAGTTTCCTTCCAATACTTATACAAAACCGACTAAAACAAATACCTGTAACCATATCGGGAATGTAATGACCGCGGGCCATAAAATCTGAACCTGCAAGATGAGCAAAACCAGGCGCACGGATTTTACATCTGTATGGACGATTTGTTCCTTATTAAAAAAAAAAAAAATCGAGTTTATTAGTATTTTTTTCATTATGCCAGTGAATATTAGTAACTTACCATCAGAAACCAGGTAAACACCAAATTCTCCTTTTGGGGCTTCAATTGCAGTATATGTTTCACCAGGAGGAACAGAATACCCTTCTGAATATAGTTTAAAATGATGAATCAATGCTTCCATATTCTCTTTCATAGAAGATCTATTTGGTGGAGATATCTTCCAATCATCAACTTTAATAGGTCCGGGAGGCATTTTGTTTAAGCATTGATGTATAATTCTCAAACTTTGTCTCATCTCTTCAACACGACAAAGGTATCTATCATAACAGTCACCCGTAGTGCCAACTGGTACGTCAAATTCAACATGTTCGTATGCATCATATGGTTGAACTTTGCGCAAATCCCATTTAACTCCAGATCCACGTAACATCACTCCAGAGAAACTGTAATCCAAAGCATCTTGAACTGTAACTATACCAACGTCCTTTGTGCGATTTATCCAAATGCGATTATTGGTTAATAATTCTTCCGTTTCGTCGATACGTGAAGAAAATTGAGTAGACCACTGATATATATCTTCCATTAAACCTAGAGGCATGTCTTGTGCGACACCACCAGGACGCACATAAGCGGCATGCATACGAGCTCCAGATACACGTTCATAATATTCCATTAACTATTAAACACAATATAATTAACTATGATCCATTAATGCAAAGAAAATTTAAAATACTAAAACACCTTTTCACGTTCCTCAAACATCCACAAGAAAGGCGTTAGCGCTCCAATGTCTGAAGTAATATCGTAGATGCAATTGAGAATTACAAAGGTTCTAAAATCATCATGCAATAAAAATCAAAATATCAAGTAGTACCGAGAGCGTGTGACATAAGCGCCATAATATGATTCAAAATCCTTGTAATCTCTCCGAACAAAGTACGAATATATTTTGCACGTTCAGGAACCTCAATGTTTAACAACTTCTCCACTGCCAATGAATAGCATTGTTCGTTGGTCATCATTGAGACATAATCCAGACGATCAAAATAAGGTAAAGCTTGCAAATAAGTTTTATATTCAATCAATTTTTCAGTTCCTCGATGTAGTAGCCCTATATGTGGATCTGCCCGAACAATTTCTTCTCCCTTTAATTCTAAAATCATCCTAAGAACACCATGTGCAGCAGGATGCTGAGGACCGAAGTTTATTGTAAATCCTTGTTTTGAATACTCTTGTGGATCGGCTGACTCTGTATACATAAACGCAGATTGTATTGTTATAATTAAGAGGAATCGCACGTTAGCCGAAATTTTATATTTATTCACTTTACCAATTTGTCCTTCCTCGTGTCCCGCGATTGAATCTACAGAATCACAATGTAAATAATGTCTCTGCAAAAAACTTATAAAAATCAATAAAAAAATCACCAAAAAATCACCAGAAAGTCCTTTCAGGATAGCTTCAGTGTCAGAAACTGGAGGTGCCATTCCAGGCTTACTAATTGAAACAGCATAAATATCATGTTTTTTTTTCTCGGCCACGTTACGGTACACTGTAGTGCTAAGATTTCTCTCTTTACAACTTTTGCCAAAAGCTAATCTTGGAACCACTGAACTTCTTGAATTAAATGATTTTTTCAATAAGTTGGTACGAGTAGAGCAAGATATTTGAACTCTACATAATTTTGGAAGGCCACTAAGTAGAATCAACATATTAATTATACAGAATGTATAACAAAAAAATCGAGATTATAAGGTTAATATCACGTGAACTTACTTGTAACAAAACTAACTCGTGACTTATATAATATTAGATCTAATAATACTAATACTATTATTATTATTTTAAAAGTATATTAATATAAATCTTTATTAATATATTATATCTAGATTGATATCAAGTGTCTTTATATATAAAGTTATATCAACTATATTAGTTGATCTTTTATATTATATAGTTAAATATTGCTTATTAACTATTTCTAATAAGTATTTTTTTTTAAAAAATAATAAATAATTACGTATCATACTTTAATATTTATTATAATTTTTTTTTTTTAAAAAAAAAAAAATTTCACAATATTTCTATTTGTAAAAAGTTGCCTTTTTAGAAAGTTTCTTTTTTCAAGAAATTTTGTCTAATGGAATATGTTTTTGAAAATGGATATAAATCAAAAAACTAATTTAGAACTGTAGAATTTCAAAGATAAAATTAATTCTTAAAATTTCAATAATAGCCTATATTAAGAGGTCTAATAACTAGTAATGGCATTGGACAATAATTTGAAATAGAAAAGACAGATAAAAAGAAAATTTTTTATATAAAGGTCATCTTTATATACAACTTATCAAATATATATTATTCTTCTTAATCAAATATTTTTCTCAAATATTTTTTTCAAGAAACAATATTTTATTTTTTTTGAAGTTTTTTGTTTTTTACTAATAATAAATGGTACAAAATTTATTATAATCTTCTGATTAACTATTAATTATTGCTTATACAGTAAATTTCATATCAAAAATTATAATTAACTTATTCTTATTAAATAATTAACAATATATAAAATATCAAGATCTTTTATATTACCTAATTATATCAAAACAATATAACAATTTATTGGATTGAAAAAGCATATTATTAGTACCTTACATGGATTTTGATAAAAAAATATTTTACTCTCTTTATCGCAAGTGAGCCCCAGCTCAAGAACTATACATGTTACTAAAATTCATAGATCCTTGATGCAATTGACACAATTATTTGACACAATTAATTGAGTCACTATTAAAACATATAAATAATTGAGTCATGACACAATTATTTTTGAGGATTTTGGGAATTGAGTCAACAGCAAAATAATTTATGCCACATGTATATCAAGAACTCAAGAATCTTCAAAACAACTGGTACAGTGAAATAGGATCTCTGGTCAAAGTCTATTCAAGTTTGAGAATCTTGCTTATCCTTTGGTTGCATGAGAAAAGACCTATAGCAATTTTTTTTTCTTCAGTTCTCTTGTATTCCTTCTTATCTTTATTCTATCATAAAAATTATTTATATTATTACTATCATACTCGTTAAACCAAATACTTTCCAAAATATACACTCAAACAGAGTTAGTGGGTTTACTGTTTGTTTCAAGTCAACCTTTATACACAATATTCTTATAGCAATATTTGCTGCGCCACTCTCATTCTCCAAAAATTTCTTACTTAAAAAACCAAAATCAATTTATCCCTTTCAGATAATCAGCATTCTTCAATAATCCAATTAGATTTCATCTAATGATTAAAACAAAAACCAAACAAGCTTAAATCAGTTTTGTACCATAACAACAATTACAACAACAACAACAAATAACTTACTACCAACAATCATAACAACAAACAATATCATGTATACTTTATTATTTATAGCATGTGAAGAGCTGAAAAGTTGAAACTATGAGTCCACCAAGGAGTTCTTTCGTTTAACACATGGATTATATAGTATATTTGATTTAGTTTTAGTTATAATTAATTTTAATTTTAATTTTAATTTTTTACATCCAAAAAATCAAAAAAATTTGCAAAATTTCCTGGAATGATAGACATAGCTGCTACTCAGTCTTATCTAGCATATTAATATTGATTTTGAATTTTTTTACAATATTAGTTAAATATTGATAATAAGCAAGCTAGTATTTAATTTTTTTGAAATAATGAAAGAGATGTTATTTCTTTTAATAATGTATACCTTGTTATATACAAATAAAAATAAAGAAATAATGTTTACCTACTGGGGAAACTCCCTTCAAAAAAAATAAAAAAATAATAAATATTTAAAATATGTTCTAATTATTTTACTATAAATACTATAACTCAACTATATCATATAATAACAATATATTATAAAGACCTATATAATCAAATCCATTGAATTACATGTAGCTTGCATAGTATTAATACTTAATTAAAAAAATTAATTGTATTTAGGAATCATATCTAATAAAAGTTTCAATATTAATCTTTTTTTTCTTTTTTTTTTATACCTAATTTCTTTACAATACTGATTTAAGCTTGTTTGGTTTTTGTTTTAATCATTAGATGAAATCTAATTGGAT